CTAGTTAAAGTCATTATTTCTGCTAGTTACACGCCTGTTTTTTAACATGTACACACTGTGAGTTTGGTTATGTACTATATGTACAGGAGTAGGTGTGACCCTTCTTTCCTCCACTTCCTCTCCAGGTCACTGTTAAAATGAGATGTCAGTGGATGGTGCATGCCCCCAGCAGGCCACTTGTTGTCTTCTTCTTATCCTATAGTAGGTTTCACACTGCAGATGGTGTTCAGCTCTCTCTATTATGACCAGAACTGTTCAGTGTCTGCTCTGCTCGAAGAAGGTCAGAGTCCAGACACCAAATATCAGCTCTGTACATCCTCTGCATTCAGTCGGGATGTTCCACACGAGCTGGCCGAACCGTTGGTGTTCAGCTGAAGCAGCTCCTGCAGTAATTAAAGTTCATCAGTCTGCACTGGCAGATCTGAATCTCACTGCTAATGAGGCCCCGCCGCATCAAACCCATGAAGGTCATCCGAACCTGTCTTTGTTGAAATCAGACGAAAAGAGCGGCAGGATTAGGGCGGGTCATATGATATCTAGGTCAGCGTGAAGAAAGAATACAGAGCAGGTAGGAGTAATAAAACACAGTGTGTCTGAGAGTGCTGCTAAAGCGGCTATCTGGTTGCGTCAGTTGTGACAAAGACTTTTTCCTCTGTTTTCTTCTGCCACACTGCAGCTGTGTGTGTTTCCTTTTGAAGGTCACTGCTGTGTAAAAACACTCCTGTTTTCATTGCCGCCCACAGAAAGCCTGAAATACCCTCCATAAGCCCAAAAACACATTGAAAGACAACTTGAGTATTTCTGCTGGTCTTACTATAGCAGGAACTCTGACAATATTATATAGCATTTTTCCACCATTGCAGCAAACTGTCATTCAGCTATTCAAACCTCTTATGTCCAACATGATGATGCTGGGAATCTATTAATCTATCTGCTTTGACCAGGCTGTGCATCCTCCTCTGACTCCTCCTCTTCTCCTCACTATAAACAGAAGCTCTAACCGGCTCCACTGATTGTGTGTAAGATCACATATGTCTGAAGAATTATGGTCATTTCCTCAGGTTCAGTGGAGGGCTGTGTGCACTCTGCTCCAGTTCAGCATGTATATATATGAGAGCAGCTCTTCCTCTTTTCATCTCAGGCTTTCCAGATTTGTAATATTACCCCACCAAGCAGCTGTGTTACCATGAAACGACTCACAGTGACAAACGAATGAACTCCTTTTTGAACAGGCTGAGCATTAAGTTAATCCTGAACAGACAGCTTCACTGGTAGGCTCGTGTTTATAGGCTTTCTCTTCTTTTTTCTAAGCAGAGGAGTGGAAAATCTAGGGGAACATTACCACTGAGAGTGGGATGCCTTTCCTTTTTTACAAACAGGAAAATATTTTTAGGAGCGACCGAGCCAAGTTTGTTTGGAGGTGATTAGAAGTGTTGTCAGCGGGGAGAAAATACTGAACCTTCCTCTTTTTTGTAGGGGAATAGGGTGGCGTGTTAGCCAGAGCCAGTGTGTGGTGCTACATGAGATTAAGACGATGTGGAGCTTGTATGATCAGGTGATGGGCAATGTGTGGTTCTCGGATCGCTTTATTATTCTTATGAAATATGATCTTATTTCCCAGAGACTGGCTTTGTTTGCAGTAACACTGAGATATAGCACCGAGGCGTCAGATTCCTGTTTGCTGTGGGTTCAGGTACAAATACAGGTGTGCCTCCAGTTACGACACAGACAACTCTTAAGTGCAGGCTGACGATCGAGGACCGTCAGCCTGCTTAGTTTCTGTCATGTGTTTAAGCTCACAAAGGATATAAATGTCAATCAAGGAGCGTCTGGCACGCAATGCTGTTCTTCAGGTTTGACAGCATGCGTGATTGTCAGTGTTGAAGCAAATCGCATTTGTGCATTGGGCAGAGGAAGTTGACCTCGGCAAACTGGTTCTCTGCTCGTGAGATGACAGGCACAGTGTGTGCTATCTGCTGTGGATGAGCCCTTTGTTGCTCCCTTTGTTTCACCTTGCAGTCCATCAGTGTGCACTGATGCCACCTTGTGTCGAAAAGGTGAATTACATAAGCAGAGTTTTGTGGCCATCAGTGCAGAGGCGGGGACATACAGGTCATACCTGAGGCTTGTTTCAGTGCAGGTTCCAGCATTTACTCAGTGTTAAAGGAAGCGTCCTTTCTAAACTCTATTTGAATATTTGCAGATTGTTACGTGTTAGACGTCACTTGTTACTTGTTGTAATGCGTTACTTTACTCAACCCCAAAGGTTGATGCTGTTCATCTGGATGTTTCAGTGGGAAAAACATTTCACCATCATCCAGGTGACGTCTTCAGTCTCAGCTGACTGCAGGTTTCAACCTTATAAACAGGACATTTGCATAAAGACTGAAACCAGCACCACTGAAAACGCTGCGTCCAGATGAACAGAATCAACTTTTGGGGGATTTACTTACCTGGATGACTGAGCGTGCATCAAGACGTCACTTTACCTAATTACTCCCTACTCGTTACTTTTCTTCTGCGTTACTCCATGGACCCGAAACACCTTCCTGTAACAATATGAACCTACAGACACACACACACACACACACACACACACACACACACACACACACACACACACACACACAAATCCCTATCCTAACTAGAAGTTTTGGTCAACACCAGCCTTACATTTACAGTACCACTGCTCTACTGGATGCCAAATATTATAATATTTTCACTATGTTGAAGTCACGTTTCTATCTTGTGAGCCAAAGTCTTCAATTTTTATGCAGTTTTCATTTCCATATGAATTTGATTGTGTAACCTAATTACTAAGACATTTTACACTCTACTAAATAAAATAGGCCCACTTTTTGAGTTTTGATGGTCGAGCAGCATGCTGGTAGAAAACATTACCAGCAACTCTGCTGATGCCAGCTTCATATTTGGAATTTGTTTTTCGGGAGTCTTAGTGAGGCAGCACATCAGCATTTTAAATTGAGCAGTTTTAGTAAACAAAGCGAAAGAGCAGCGCTTGAAGGAGGAAGGTGGGAGCAGAGCAGTGTTGGGGTTTGTTCTCTAGCATTGTTAGTCTGTACCTGCAGCTGTGATTTGGTGCTATGTAAATAAAACTGAGTTGAAGTGTAACTCCTTATTTTGGAACTACACTAACACCGGTCGTATGTAGAGACAACATTGGTTCACAGTTTTGTGTTCAGAGGCTAAAAACGAGGCCTTTAGAGACCTTCAAGACCAGACTCTGTCTCCTTGGAAGCAAAATATAAAGAAATGAGGTGTCCAAGACTTTTGGATGGCACTATATTTGACACAGCAACGTGTAGTTTATATATAAATGTTAAACTTCATTGGCTCCACATTTCCAAATACCAGAATTGCCTGTTTGAACTTTAGTGATTGAAAACTGAAGACTGGGTCCTGAAAGAGTCCAGATCAAACATTTTCTTCTTTTTAACTTTTGAAATCTACCGTTTTGTGCGTACTGGTCTAGACGGGCAGGATTAATGAGCACCTTCTGTTGGAAACCATAAAAATCACAGTGAGCTTATTAGCAGCCAGGTTTGCACAAAAACACTGTCGTGAATTGATGTAAATGTAGTTCAGACTGCAGGAGGTCGTTGGAGAGAAGTGTTCTCAGCTGTTTTTCACTTTAACGAGCAAAGTAAGAGATTAATGTTGAGTCACTGTCAGGATTTCATCACATAAAACCTCTACGTACTCTGTACACCGCCGGAGCAGGTTTATTATGTCTTTGTTATCAGTCTGATAAAGAAATCACACCACAGGATCCCATTTATCAGACCCCCTGCTGTCACACATCATTAATCACGAGCTTGGGCCTAACAGCGTCTCATTAAAAGCTTTTCTGACTCTTGATAACAAAATCTGGCCATGGAAGATGTGACGTATACTACTATTCTATCTATGATATAGATGATATTCAAAGTCTTCACAATTTCATGTTGGGAAACATAATTCTGAAATTGTTCTAAAATGTGTAGACTTTTTAGCAGATTGGTGAAAATCTGCCCATTTTTGCTGATGCGACGCCAGGTAACCTAATTAGTTGCTAAATGTTCCTCCAGCTGTTTCTTTTGTGCTGCTTAATTTTCTCCATCCAAACGTTTTTGAGACACGACGCTGTCATCAAATTCAAAATTTAAGTGGTCTCTAAAAACAGTCTCTTTTTAAATATTCGACGTGGTTTCTTATGTTCTGTTGTGAATATGAGGTTTGCAAGCCGTTGCCTTCTGCTTTTGTTTCTGAAGCTTCTTAAATGTGAAGTTTTGCTTCTTTGATTTCTCTAAACTCCCCTGCTGCATGTCTCCTTTTCACCTCACGATTTTTAATCAAATGACTTGAAAGATTCATTCTTGTTCTTGTTCTCTATGGGGGCTCTGGCTTCCTTCAACAGTCCAAAGACATCCATGTTAATTGGCTTCAGTAGATGTACGTGTGAGTGTGAATGTGTTGGTCCTGAGATATGGTTCAGGCTGGTTTATAGGCCAACCTTGCGTTTCTTTGACAGTAGTTGTCAAACGGTAGCTCTTACGCAGAGTAATGGTTTGTCTAAAGAGTTTCATCCACGCCATAAGACTTCTTATAGTTTGGCGCCCTCTGCTGGTCCAAAGGCTGAATTACCCCCATGCTGTAGCCCTATATCATTTCATACGTGCAGGTCTGAGAGGAAAAGCAGCGGTGACTGACGCACCCACGCGCCTCAGTCAGAGGCGGCGGCACGAACCTGTAGTTACTCAGCGTAATGCCAATAACTCTTGCATCTGCTCATGATTCACAATTCTGGGGTAACCATCAAGTTTTCTCCTACATCAGCAGGGATGTGACACGCTGTACGTGACAGAGGATTAAAAAAAGAAGTATTAATGGCACACACAACCTGTAGCGCTATAAAAACACTGGTGGGTGAGAAGTGGGGCCAGGACACGTCACATATGGCGTCTGTGCAAAGGCGGAGAAATAAACACCCAAACACAGGGTTAGTACACATTTTTTAATAACATGGCACAATTTACATAACACAAGTTTAAATGAGGAGCATGCTGAAGATTCAGTCGCTTCATTTTTTCTCATTGTACACGATCTAGAAAGACTTCGTTTTTTCCCCTGTACACGGTAAACAGCAAAAGGTTTCTCGTTGAACAATCTTTTTGCGATACGTATCGACTAACCACTATGGCTCGGGTGGACAATTTCATGTTGGATTAAAAAACACTGCACGACATGATATCACAGAGTTTGAAGCGCACAACTAAACCTTCAGTGGACTACTAAAATAGATCTCTGCTTGTTAGAAACAAACCGTCCATGGTTGAGACTTGCTTTTTTTGTATTTTGATTTTGTAGGTACAACAACTTAGGAAAGCACTTTAATACACTGTTTGACCAACAGAAACATGTACTTTACACTCCTCCGCTAGGGCTAATGTGCCGTCATGGTGTTTAATGCGCTGCATTCTCCCCAGAACAAGACTGGTGTTAACCAAGAGGACAACAAAAAAATCCATCCACACATTTGTGCTGCTGGCTTTTTACATCACAATTTAATATTCAGTTCAATGGGATTGTCACCACAGATTATTATAAGACAAAAATCATTTTGTTTTTGTTAAATCTGAAACCCTGTGCGGATCAGTTAAAGCTGCATCTGTCAGCACGGACGCAAAGTTAATGTCAAGTCTGCGTTGTGGAGAGAATACAGTCCTTGAATGGTACACAGTGGCACGCAGTCAGTAGTGTTGAAGGCCAGCTTTCAGAAAGGGAACCGAGACATTTGTTGCATAGTTGAATCTGGGGATCTGGTACAATGCGAATCACCTGCGTCAACCAAACGATAAAGAAATTGCAAAAAGCACGTTCTGAATCATACTCCTGTATTTACATCTGTCAAAGTAAAGCTTTCGAAACACTCTTTTGCATATTTGTACCATGAATTTGAATCCGTACAGGGCGAGCACAGTGACTGTACACATTATCTACACACTCAGTGCTAAAGTACCTGTACAATCCAAAGTTGCTCATTCTGACTCCACATCACTTTTCTATACAAGAGAAAGAATGCACACGGAAAGCTGGAGCAAAACGGGAAAACAAAATCTCTGAAAAAAAGCTTTTTTTGTTCCATGATTATTGTCTCTTTGTAGTTTTATACAAAAACGATTCATTGCATGGGCATCTGTGTGCCCACATAAATTATTCACAGCTATGTTACAGTCTTGCTTTGCCAAAGCTAAGTGCTTGGTTGTGAGTTCAGTGTTGGTGAGGCACAGGGCTGCAGGGCCACCGCGTCTGCTTGCCTCACCGCGCCTCGATGTCTTTGTGAGCCGGTCTGTCTCTGATATCTGTGCCCAGGGGAGTAGTCCGTCTGGGCGAGCCGGGCCGGGTGCCCAGTGTGGGAATGAGTGGGGGCGGTGCACTCAGAGACGCGGTGGGTGGCGTTTTGTTCAGAATACCATTCTGATGGGCGGTGGCTGCGGCTGCGGCGGCGGCGGCTGCTGCCGCTGCGGCTGAGGGACTCACCCTGGAGTAGTGCATGCCAGCGAGTCCGGGGGCCATGAGACCCGGGGCAGGGTGGGGGAGGTGTCCGTCGAGGGCGGGATGGTGCACCGCGGGGTGGAGGCGCCCGTGCTCGTAGTCCTCTCGGAGCATGTTGAGGCGATCGCGCTCCTCCAGTTGGGCGCGCTCCTGTTCCCTCCTCTGCTCCAGGGCCAGGGGGTGGGCGTGGTCGCGATTAAAGTCGTGAGGCTCGCGGTCCCTGTAGGAGCGCTCTGCCTCGTACAGGCGCGGCCCTGCCAACCGGTGCAGAGGATCGTTCCTCAGCAGCAGGTCCCTGGCCAAAGGGTCTCGCCTGTGAATGTCCAGGCCCCTGTAGGGGTCTCTCATTGGGTCCCAGTGGAAGGGAGGGTAGGGGAATCTGTCAGCTCCTGGGATGGGACTGATACCCATAAAGGGCGCCACGACTCGAGTTCTCTCTAGGCTGCTGATGCTGTTGATGGGGTGGACAACGGGCATGCCCATGGACACAGGCACTGAGGAGGGAGGGTGGAGATTAGGGGTGGAGGACGCCTGTTGCAGGTGCTCACTGGCCCTCTCTGCGCCTCCATCCTGCTCCTCCTTCCTCTCCTCCTTTACTTTCACCTCACTGCTCTTCTTCTGGTGCTCGTATGGCAGCTCCGCCTTCTTCTCCAGGACATCCCTCGTCAGGCCACCGTTGGGACGTTCCAAGCTGGTCTGCCGGACATAGGGTGACGCCGATCCTCTGTTTGACATTTTGTCCTCCGACGCTCGGCCGTCATGGATGACAGGCGTGTCCTTGTCACTGTGCTGGCTGTCCTTGAGCTTGTGGTCGTCTGTGCCGTTGTCTTTCCATGAATCCGAGTGCTCCCTTTCCCTCTCTTTGGCCTTGTTCTCCTTCTCCCTCTGAGGCTCTCCAGAAGCAGGTGGCAGGTGGTTCCTGTGGTGCTCAGGAGGTCGGCTGTGGCTAAGAAGGCTGATTGGATTGACGGGGACCGGGGACGGATGGCTGGGATGACGCTTTTCAACAGAGTCCCTACAGGCACAAACAAGGTTATGAGAGTTTTACGTTTGGAATTAAATAACTGTACAGAGAAAAAAACATTTTATGGAAAATTATGATTATGTAAAACATACAGGAAACATCTTTAATTTAAGCCTTTGCCAATCTGCTTATCACCACCTGACTGATGCTGCTGCTGTCTCGTCTACATGACTCTGACTCAACTAAATTCAATGCTGCTGCTAATTAAGGAGCTGTTATCAAATATGGGCGATGCTAACCTTTTCCTCTCTCCTCCCCCCAGCAGGAGCACGAGCTCGCTGATCATAATTCACGTCGGCAGTAATGACACCCGGTTACGCCAATCGGAGGTCACTAAAATCAATATTGAATCGGTGTGCAACTTTGCCAAAACAATGTCGGACTCTGTAGTTTTCTCTGGTCCCCTCCCCAATCAGACCAGGAGCGACATGTTTAGCTGCATGTTCTCCTTAAATTGCTGGCTGTCTGAGTGGTGTCCCAGAAACGATGTGGGCTTCATAGATAATTGGCAAACCTTCTGGAGGAAACCTGGTCTTGTTAGGAGAGACGGCATCCATCCCACTTTGGATGGAGCAGCTCTCATTTCTAGAAATATGGACAAAAATGGATTGGGGCTGCAGCTGCAGTAATGCAGACACTGCACCGGTCCGTCGTGGTGAAGAGGGAGCTGAGTGTAAAAGCGAAGCTCTCAATTTACCGGTCGATCTACGTCCCTACCCTCACCTATGGCCACGAGCTGTGGATAGTGACCGAAAGAACGAGATCGCGGATATAAGCGGCAGAAATGAGCTTCCTCCGAAGGGTGGCTGGCCTCTCCCTTAGAGATAGGGTGAGAAGTTCGGCCATCCGGGAGGGGCTCAGAGTAGAGCAGCTGCTGCTCCACATCGAAAGGAGCCAGCTGAGGTGGTTCGGGCATCTGACAAGGATGCCCCTGGGCGCCTCCTGGGTGAGGTGTTCCAGGCATGTCCCACCGGGAGGAGGCCCCGGGGCAGACCCAGGACACGCTGGAGAGATTATATCTCTCGGCTGGCCTGGGAACGCCTTGGTGTTCCCCCGGATAAGCTGGAGGAGGTGGCTGGGGAGAGGGAGGTCTGGGCCTCTTTGCTTAGGCTGCTGCCCCCGCGACCCGGCCCCGGACAAAGCGGATGAAGATGGATGGATGGATGGATGGATGGATGGACAAAAATATGACTATCCAGAGTTGGGACCAGGAAGCAGAGCTGCAGTCTTACACGCCTCTCTGCAGCTTCTCTCCTCCTGCTACCCCCCCAAAAACCCATCTCCATAGAGACTGTGTCAGCTTCCAAAAAGACAAAAAACAAACTAAAAACCAACAACAAACAACTTAAACATAAACAATTACAAAGAAAGAACAATACAGTATCCACATCTGAACCAAAGAGTAAAACAGTGAAATGTGGATTATTAAATATTAGGTCTCTCTCCTCCAAGTCTCTGTTAGTACATGACTTAATAATTGATCAACAAATCGATTTACTCTGCCTTACAGAAACCTGGTTTTAGCAGGATGATTATGTTAGTTTAAATGAATCAACACCCCCGAGTCATTCTAACTACCAGAAACCTCGAAGCACAGGCCGAGGGGGAGGTGTGGCAGCAATTTTTCACACAAGCCTATTAATTAATGAAAGACCAAGACAGACTTTTAATTCATTTGAAAGCCTGATGCTTAGCCTCGTCCACCCCAGCTGTAAAACTCAGAAACCAGTCTTGTTATCATCTATCGTCCACCTGGGCCTTACACAGAGTTTCTGTCTGATTTCTCAGACTTTATATCTAATTTAGTTCTGAGCTCAGATAAAATAATTATTGTGGGTGATTTTAACATCCATATAGATGCTAAAAATGACAGCCTCAACATGGCATTTAGTCTGTTATTAGACTCAATCGGCTTCTGTCAAAATGTAAAAGAACCCACCCACCACTTTAATCACACTCTAGATCTTGTGTTAACATATGGCATAGAAACTGAACATTTAACAGTGTTTCCTGAAAACCCTCTCCTGTCTGATCATTTCCTGATAACATTTACATTTACAATAATTGATTACACAGCGGTGGAGAGTAGACTTTATCAAAGTAGATGTCTTTCTGAAAGTGCTGTAACTAAGTTTAAGAATATAATCCACCCACTGTTATCATCTCCAATGCCCTGTACCAACACAGAGCAGAGCAGCTATCTGAACGCTGCTCCAACAGAGGTCGATTATCTTGTTAATAATTTCACCTCCTCACTACGTACGACTCTGGATACTGTAGCTCCAGTGAAAACTAAGGTCTCAAATCAGAAGTACCTGACTCCGTGGTATAATTCTCAAACACGTAGCCTAAAGCAGATGACTCGTAATCTGGAGAGGAAATGGCGTGTCACAAATCTAGAGGATCATCATTTAGCCTGGAGAAATAGTTTGCTGCTTTATAAGAAAGCCCTCCGCAAAGCCAGAACATCGTACTATTCATCACTGATTGAAGTAAATAAGAACAACCCCAGGTTTCTCTTCAGCACTGTAGCCAGGTTGACAAAAAGTCAGAGCTCTGTTGAGCCAACAATCCCTTTAACGTTAACTAGTAATGACTTCATGAACTTCTTCACAAATAACATTTTTATCATTAGAGGAAAAATTACCAGTAATCATCCCACAGATGTAATATTATCTACAGCTACTCTTAGTACCATTGATGTTAAGTTAGACTCTTTTTCTCTAATTGATCTTTCTGAGTTAACTTCAATAATTACTTCCTCCAAACCATCAACGTGTCTTTTAGACCCCATTCCTACAAAACTGCTCAAAGAAGTCCTGCCATTAATTAATTCTTTGATCTTAAATATGATCAACCTATCTCTAATGATCAGCTATGTACCACAGGCCTTCAAGCTGGCTGTAGTTAAACCTTTACTCAAAAAGCATCTCTAGACCCAGCAGTCTTAGCTAATTATAGGCCAATCTCCAACCTTCCTTTATATCAAACATCCTTGAAAGAGTAGTTGTCAAACAGCTAACAGATCATCTGTAGAGGAATGGCTTATTTGAAGAGTTTCAGTCAGGTTTCAGAGCTCATCACAGCACAGAAACAGCTTTAGTGAAGGTTACAAATGATCTTCTTATGGCATCTGACAGTGGACTCATCTCTGTGCTTGTCCTGCTAGACCTTAGTGCAGCATTCGATACTGTTGACCATAATATCCCATTAGAGCGATTAGAACATGCTGTAGGTATTACAGGTACTGCGCTGCAGTGGTTTGTATCATATCTATCTAATAGACTCCAGTTTGTGCATGTAAATGGAGAGTCCTCTTCACACACTGAGGTTAATTATGGAGTTCCACAGGGTTCAGTGCTAGGACCAATTCTGTTTACATTATACATGCTTCCCTTAGGCAGCATCATTAGAAGACATAGCATACATTTACACTGCTATGCAGATGACACCCAGCTCTATCTGTCCATGAAGCCAGATAACACACACCAATGAGTTAAACTGCAGGAATGTCTTAAAGACATAAAGACCTGGATGGCCGCTAACTTTCTGCTTCTTAATTCAGATCAAACTGAGGTATTTGTACTCGGCCCTGAAAAGCTTAGAAATATGGTATCTAAGCAGATTCTTCCTCTGGATGGCATTACCTTGGCCTCCAGTAACGCTGTGAGGAACCTTGGAGTCATTTTTGACCAGGACATGTCCTTCAAAGCACATATTAAACAAATATGTAAGACTGCGTTCTTCCATTTGTGCAACATCTCTAATATTAGAAATATCCTGTCTCAGAGTGACGCTGAGAAACTAGTTCATGCATTTATTACTTCCAGGCTGGACGACTGTAATTCATTATTATCAGGATGTCCTAAAAACTCCCTGAAAAGCCTTCAGTTAATCCAAAATGCTGCAGCAAGAGTCCTGACAGGGACTAGAAAGAGAGAGCAGATTTCTCCTGTTTTGGCTTCCTGTTAAATCCAGAATTCAAAATCCTGCTCCTCACATACAAGGTCCTAAATAATCAGGCCCCATCTTATCTTAATGACCTTGTAGTACCATATCACCCTATTAGAGCACTTCGCTCTCGCTCTGCAGGCCTACTTGTTGTTCCTAGAGTATTTAAAAGTAGAATGGGAGGCAGAGCCTTCAGTTTTCAGGCCCCTCTTCTGTGGAACCAGCTTCCAGTTTGGATTCAGGAGACAGACACTATCTCTACTTTCAAGATTAGGCTTCAAACTTTCCTTTTTGCTAAAGCATATAGTTAGGGCTGGACCATGTGACCCTGAATCCTCCCTTAGTTATGCTGCAATAGACGTAGGCTGCCGGGGGATTCCCATGATGCATTGAGTTTTTCCTTTCCAGTCACCTTTCTCACTCACTATGTATTAACAGACCTCTCTGCATTGAATCATATCTGTTATTAACCTCTGTCTCTCTTCCACAGCATTTCTTTATCCTGTCTTCCTTCTCTCACCCCAACCGGTCGCAGCAGATAGCCCCGCCCCTCCCTGAGCCTGGTTCTGCCGGAGGTTTCTTCCTGTTAAAAGGGAGTTTTTCCTTCCCACTGTCGCCAAAGTGCTGCTGATAGGGGGTCATATGATGTATTATTGTGCGATCTACTGTACTGTACTGTGCTGTTGTGATTTGGCGCTGTGTAAATAAAATTGAATTGAATGGAATCTTTTGTTCATTAAACTGTCACTTTGTTGCACTCACACACTGACCACATTACTCATGTAGTTGTTACATTGTTCACCACCCACCTGTCCTTGTCCTCTTTACTGACCAACGAGTCCCGTTTGTCAGAGTCTCGGTCCCTCTCGTGTGAGCTCACCGACGCGCTCCTCTCAGACTCTCCGGGTTTCAGCCAGGGTGGCGGCGTGGGGAACGAAGGTGGCGTGCGATGCAGGCGGTTCCACGGCTCCTGGTGGCTGTTGTTACTGCTGCTGTTGAAGTGCTGTGGCGCGTTTGGGCCATCTTTGTGGCCAAACACCGAGTTGGCCCCTGTTAGGGATTCAACACGTGGAAAAACATGGAACGCAAGTTAAATGCGTAGCTCTGCTGATCCTCATATGCAGGCAGCATTACAAACAGTGAGAGGATTACTCCACCTAAACTACAGGTGGGCGACTGATTTTCCCGAGGGACCGCACGAGAAACTGTGACCCTCCACAACAGTCACGGTTTCTCATGTGGCCACTCCCAAGCAAGTGTCTTTCTTGAGGCTGAAACTCACTTAGTGCTGGATTGCCCAATCCCCCGAAGGCCGACGAGCTGAGAGATCCCAGTCCTCCAAACGATGGAGGCCTACTGAAAGGCTCTGGGAGAAGACACAGCATGTTAGCGCTGATGCAATCAACACCCTCGTTTTGGATCGGTCAGACTGAGATGAAGCGTGCTGTTACCTAAATGAGATGCTGGAGGAAGAAAGTTTCCAGGATGGTGCGGTGGATGGCCAAAGGGAGCTGCAGATGGGTGCGTAGGACCTGAGGAGGAGGATAACCACAGACTGTAACATCAGCAAAAGTAAGTGTTAACTGGTCAACTGGTGAAGTCTTTCTGGAGCTGTCAGTAAGAGCCAATCGATAAGTAATTCGTATTTTAAAAACTTTAACTGTAAAGTTAAAGTTCAGTAAAAGACTTCAGAAAAATGTCCTTCAGTATTTTTGTGCAGACAAAAGCATCTGTAAATAAACAGCCACGAACTTATCAGTCGACTGTAGATTACAGGCACAGCCATTAAAGCAGCAATTCGTTTACACGCGTGTTCCTCTTCAAAGTCAACTCTCACATAAGTCCCATCATCACGTCAAAAGAGAAACAACGATGCTCCTGTTAATACGAGATTAATTGCATTTAATGATACTGCGCATAGCAAACAAGGAGAATCAGCTGCAAGCTCCAGAAAGATTTAAGACTTTCCTTGTACGACTTTGGCCCTGAGAGCTTCACACAAAGACAAACAGCACAGGCTCAGGACAGATGTTGTGGGGACAATGGCTACGATCTAAGTTGTTATATATCGCTGCAGAAATCTGCTGCCCAGATGATTTACTGTGCAGCCTGATCATGCTCTCCCAGATGATCAGCTTTAGCTCAGCTGTTGGTGTAACTAATGAGGATAAAGCCAGCTAGTTATCCCAAGATTATCTGCACTAGAAAGCTAATAGTAAGCAAGCAGAAAGCTGCACTGCTTACAGCTTTACAACTTTTGGGATTAATAAAAGATTGAAGTGTAAAAAAAGTTTTCTCAGGGCTCTATGCAGTGAGTACACAGAGTACCTCCCGTACTTCTAAAGGAATTAACAGCAGCCAGGTGCCGATAATCAAATTCACTTTAATAACTGATCATCGGTTTGTGTTAGCACTCAGGTGTGTGGTAATAAAACGCCACAATCTTCCCAGGAGATGACACAAAGCTGCAGGCCTCTGTTAGCGTGCTAAATGTTCCACAGTATTACAGTGTAGTTAGAAAGGCAGGGAACAAGTGTATTTGGAAAGAGTGCAAGGAGACGGCTTGTCCTCTTTAAAGTGAACATGGCAGAACGGCAAATATTTGAAATGACGTCCGAGTCCTTCAGACAGACGAGACTAAAACAGCCGTTTGGCCATAAAGCGCAGCACCAAACACTGCAGAGAGTCCCGTGAAAACGGTGCTTTTTTTCCTGCTGTTTTGTCGTATCTCATCTTTAGTAAAGATATTTTCTTCATTTGTTGGCGTTTTGTCCAGTTGCAGCATCGGACATTATGACAACCTGACATTTTGGGACACTGACGCAGAGCCAAATAAGTAATAGTAGCAGAGGGGGGCGTTGTGGTAGTTTGATGACCTAATCTTGGGATAGTTAAGCTAAACTCAGGAATTCCACACACTGCCTGGAAAACTGTCGTTGTTATGTCTTGATGATACCTGGCTAGTTACAGGCTGAACGAAGCAAACCCAGCACTGCTGCGGCTTGAAGTTTAATAACCAGATCCAACATAGAGGGAAAAAGGCTGACTCACATCTGCAGTCTGTGGATACTTAAACTACACCAGGAGCACCAGAGACGACTGTACTAACCCAAAGTGCGACTTCAAGGTCTGCCTGTATTTAACAGCAAGCGGGGACCTTGTTGACATCACTAAAACCCATTTCATGGACTAATCGAATATCCTCTGCTTTATCCAGTATTCCTTTAAGAGGCACGTTGGATGATCTGTTCTTTCACTCTGATTTGTGCGTGTTGTTGTCACATGCTCATGGCTGTTTTAAACATGAACGTTTCATATACAGGAGCCAAGCGTGGCGCAGTATGAGTGAACTGTAGAGCTGCGACAGTGTCCAAGAACAGAAACAGGAAGTCAGAGATTGACCCAACAGCTCCAATCTAAAGAAAGGTGAGATATATCTCTGATGGTCACTCTGGTGGAGATCATTCTGTCGGGTTTGCTGATTTCACTCATTCACCACACACGATGCTAGCTCTGCACAGCAGGACCGACTGCTGCTGAATATGAGAGGCGGCCACTGATCAATCGGACAGCTGATGCACTCACCTGCAGCGGAGAAAAGCGTGGCGGGCCGCGCCAAGTCGCCGGGGTGGTGGATAGCACCAAAGAGGCTGGGGCCCGGGGGTCGACTCAGAAACTCGGGCTTGAGGCCGAAGTCTAGCTTGTGAGGGTCGACCTGCATCTGCTGCTGAAAGACGCCAAAGGTACAGAGAGAAACACATGTAAAACCTGAGCTATCAGAGGCTCCTTTTGACCCAGCATTTGGTGTTTCTTGTGTTTTTATGACCTTTTGTGTGATGGTTTATTATTCTTAGTGGTAATCCTGAGTTTCTTCTACGCTAACCTTTGCCCTCTGCGTCCCCTTTTGTGCGTCTGTGTTTGTAAAGTTGTGTGAGTTCTTGTGCCGTGTTTTCCCTCCTTGTGTTTTATTCCATCACGTTTATCTGTGTTTGCCCAAGTCCGTCTCGTCTGCCTCTCCTCCTCCCGCATCATCTTCCTGTTTTATTGTGAAGGTCTCGTGTTTCCGTGTTCGTCCTGTTCAGTTTTGTGTCCCCCGTCCTGCTCTCCGTGTGTCCTCACTTCCCTCGTTATCCTTCTGTATATTTACGTCAGCGTCTCCCTCATGGCTGTCTGTCTCTCCCTGTGTTTCCCCCCGTGTATTTGGATTCTTTGGTTTTTCCAGGTTAGTTTTGTATTGTAAAGCTGTGGTTTGTGAGTTCACGTCCTGCCTCTGAGTCTGCATTTGGGTCCTACTCCTGCTGCACACGGAGACGCTGGTTTTAGGCGTGTTGGGAAGGAAAAATAGTTAAAGCCATCAAGGGAGGTGACTGACTGCTAAGTTCCAGTGAGGTGTCACAATCAAAGCATTACACTAACCTCCAGAAGCAAAAGGAGGATGCAAACCATACAATTTAAATGTCAATTTATTATCAACGGTGTGTGAAGCGACTTCTACTGAGTACAACGGTGAAATCAGCTGATCACAGAAGACACGGAACAATTCTGTGGTTTAACTGATGAAGTGATTTTTCCAGAAGAGAAACTAGAGCCAGATCCACAGAGCGAACCATCAGGAGTTTGGGTTTATTTTGCAGTTCAATTAATACAAATGAGTTAACAGTGTCTATAGAGGGTGGAAGTGTTTGTTATTAATCTCTGTCTCTCTTCCACAGCATGTCTTTATCCTGTCTTCCTTCTCTCACTCCAACCAATCACAGCAGATGGCCCCGCCCCTCCCTGAGCCTGGTTCTGCTGGAGGTTTCTTCCTGTTAAAAGGGAGTTTTTCCTTCCCACTGTCGCCAAAGTGCTTGCTCATAGGGGGTCATATGATTGTTGGGTTTTTCTCTGTATGTATTATTGTAGCGTCTACCTTACAATATAAAGCGCCTTGAGGTGACTGTTGTTGTGATTTGGTGCTTTATAAATAAAACTGAATTGAAAATTGGACTTTGCTAAACTGACCCAGTATTAGCCTCCTAAGACCTGAACTCTTTCATGCATTTTTAATTTCTCTTTGCTATTTGGGCTGATTGGGACCTGATGAATGTAAAAACAAAGAATTACTGTATTTTTTTTTACCTGATTTTTGTTTCTGAGAAAAATGAGATCCACATACAAGGACATTCGTTTTAAATTTCGATAGGACAGTGGCAGTATAGTGTCCTCGTTAGAGCAAAATTTAGTATTGTGGTCTAGACAACCCAAAATGTGACGCCAGGTCCTAGGAGGTTAAATCCAGCCTTGGCCACACTGTGTTAGGAGGGGTTAGACGAGTCCTCACCTTTACTTTCTGTTGGTGGTGGTATATCTGCCAGGCAATATGGACATGCATGGCACACCACTTCCCCGGTTTCTGTAAGAACAAGAAAATTTATTTAATTAAGAACAAGAAAGAAAATGGTGTGACCAAAAAACACAGTGTCATCTAATCAATACGGTACTATGACTACTAATCACATATTAAAAGGCTAAGAAATGCAGGTGTGCTGAATGAACCATGCACACGCTGGCGTGTGACAGCGAGGCGTCACTGTCGGCCATCTGACAAGGTTTCATAACACACGCGCTGCAGCGTTCTTCAAAATGAGCCCCGTAAACGAGTACACTCAGCCCCCATTTAATTAAAGACACTATCAACTCCATTAGCAAAGACCTTCAAGGCATCGCAGTGATTATTGCGAGGGAGCAGGAGACGGAGACACTGCAGGGAGTGAGCACTCACCCTGAGAATCGGCCGAAACGGATCCGTTAGCTTCAGGAAGGACGGAGAGAGAGAACATGAATTATTCTGCTGTCAGTCAAATCATTTCTAATTAGTCCTTGTGTGTAGCATTCATTAGGAACCAAATTAAAATGTCAAACTGTTCACTTTAAAATTAAGCGTTTCAGGGATAATTAACACGCGGGTGTTTAAACGGGTTCCTCCTGCGTGACCTTCTGCAAACAAACACGCTGACACGTCTGTCAATCTACGACTCACCGCTGATCAATAGATCAGAAATAGACTCTATGTGGTAAATTATTCATATGTATTTTAATGCATTTTTAACACTTCCTGTATGAGAACAGCTTGCTTGCTGAGGCTGCTGCTAATGTGGATCCTAATAAAGCAAACCTATGGAGCCTGTACAGTCCGGTCTCCTGGTGCACGGTGGGTGGCGTGTACGTGCTCTTACCCTGGGGTCCTTCTGTAAGAACGTGTGTGGGACGGCTCCGGGTCTTGCGGAAACATCCAGTGGATTAGAGGTCTGGAGAGCAGCAGACGGATCGAAAAATTATTCTCTGAATATAACTCGCCCCCTCCCGGCTAGTCTGTCTGTGGGTGTGTGGTGGTGTCTCACCTTGGGCTGAAAGGCCCCCTGCAGCGAGCTGAAGGGCCCGGTTGGGGGGATGACAGGGGGAAGGCCAGACATGGCTGGAGGGTAGGAGTGGAAGAGCTGGAAGAAGAAAAGAGCGAGAGGAGGCGTGAGGACGATTCGGTCTATCGGTGAAATGCGGCTTTATGAGTCAGTCTAAACAGAGCAGGCAGTTTGTGGTGGTGTTTAAACCTCGCAGTTTAATCGCAGTGACTGCTTAGTTACAAATGATTGCCTACGTGTTACACAAACGGCTTGTTTATCAAATATTCACTGCTTGTTCCCACTGGATTTAAATCAGGAGAAAAAACCTCCTTTGATATGAAAAGCAGAATGTTGTAATACACGCAAAACACAAGTAAGTCAAACAAGCGCTCAAGGCTTTCATAAACGTATCTGTATGTAGAGAAACAGATATGCAATCATCTGCTTTGCATAATTGTCCCTAACAGTCATATTAGCCAAAGTAACGAGTGCGTGTTTGGCAAACGTGCTTGCATTGCTGCAGTCGCGCATTGGAATTCTTTAAAGCTGGACTCGAGGGTGTGCTGCAAGCTTTTTAAATGCAACTCCACTCCTCTTGTGCACCAAGTATTAAGATGCCACTATGTTTTATAGAGAAGGAATGCTTTCAGCGTGTTTGCCGGGACCATTATACCAGCGGGGGAAAAAACAAAAAAAGATGAAGCACTTAAAAACAAACTAGGAAGCGGGTCGATCTGAATACAAATAGGTTTTTATGATAGTAAAATCTGCCTCCTAGCTATCGAGGACAAATCAGTTTAATAGTCTGTAGAAAAAGCACACTAGGCAGAAGCACGCTCTGAAAATTTCAGCAAAACGGTAGGACAGCGAGTCCAGTGTTTGAAATCATTTGCTTTTATTGAATAATAATTTTGAGGACGCCACTGCTGGTGACTGGAAAAAAGGAAATAAGCGAGACAGAGAGGTAACGTAGCAACTGTGTTTATCATCACATGCACACAGTAACTGTTAAACTCCAGGATTTAAGAATCCCGATCTGTTGCATCACATCATTAGCTACGGCCGAAGGGTGACATGGAGCAGTAACCGTTAGGAAGCAGATGTACGGTGCATGGGCTGAAATGGCAAAATGGGCAAGCAACAAATCTGAAGCTGGAAGCTAGTACGCAGTAGAGAAACTCACACTGTGTCTGTAGAAGGGGTCGACTTTTGTTGGATATTTGTCAAACTGTAGGAGAAATGAAACAGAGCTAAGTACAAAGATTGGCCTCTTTTGTTTCAGGCCAACACACAAAAAAACATCACAAACTGCATTTAAAACCAAAAATACGATTATAGATGAAGATCTAAGACGTCTACTGAGCGGGATCCAAGTTCAACCACTCCCCGCGCCACAATGTTTTCATCCTCCCCCGTTTCCTGATCATCTGAAGACCTTGTAAACTAGCATGAGCTGGCTCTCATTTGGTTGGCTTTTAGTGGTGCGGCGCAGGCTCAGGGCGAACATTTCCACAGTCAAGACTAAACACTGCAGCCATAAAGAGCCTTTTTATGGCCTCATTAGCTGTCAGAGGCCTCGCTATGCTGCCTTTGAGGTATCATCATAGCCAAGCAAACCTCTGTGGGTCAGGCAGTTACAAATGTGTATGTGTTTGTGAGAGTTTAGGTTCAGGCACCCATTGCCTGTGGTTCTCTCCCAAACTGCGCGGCTCTTAATGCAATACATTTGCCAGTAATGAAAACCCCCAAATGGGACCAAATGATGTCATTAAAATCAGAATGAATTAAGTGTATTATGTTCTGAAAGCTGGCTCTGAAGTTAACATGCTCCAGGGCAAGTTATTGCCAATTTAGAAAATAACAGCGTTCAAGTCTGGAGTCTCAGCGTATGCCAGAGAAAACACTAGAAAGGCTTTGTGGGAGAATAAAGGCATCGCTGTGGCGTGGACGGACGCGCACGGTCATCGTTGAACGGCCGCCACAGAAACCCGCAGGTCCCCACGGCGTGCCGCTCTCACACATGTCAGAGTATTTAAAAAATAAAATACGAAGTCTTCGCGCTCCCAAACCACAACGCGAAAACACTTTTTGGTGCCATAGCCGCCCACCGCTCCGCACATGTAGAAGTCATTACGAGAACGTAGACCCCTGCCCCTCCCACCGCCCCAACCCAACACAGGTGTGTTCTACTTATCCTCACATTTCTGGCAGGGGTACGCACCATGGGCGGTGCTGGGGTGGGCATGATGGCGTGTGGGAAGGGCGTGAAGGTGTGCTGGTGGGTGTGCTGGTGGGTGTGTTGGTGCTGATGCTGGTGCTGATGCTGGTGGAACTCAGTGCGCAGGTAGGGCGGGGGGCCAAGCGAGGCACCGCGGTCGGCGCTCTGGGACGCCAGGAAACGGGTGTTGAGCTCTTGGCGCAGAAGGTCTTGCTCTGTAGAGAAGAGGGCGGAGCATTAGGACAGCAGAGCGCTATTAGCAATTAGAGCTGCAGACTCAAATAACCCTCATCTGAGAACTTTAAATACATTTCTCTTTAATTAAGACCCCCTACAGTCCGCCCAGCTGTAGGTCACACGCAGACCCCTGGAGGACCTCGCGCTCCCGTGTGACAGCTCTGTATGTCATCAAAATAAGAAGCCAAGCTGTCAAAAAAGGAAACAAGCAGGAAATGGTTGTGATTACCAGCGTGTCATTTTCCCTCGAAGCGAAGCTCGACATGATTAGAACAGTCTGACTGCTGGAACTGTCAAAATGTGGCGATTTGATACACTCGAGCCCCTCTGAGAGCGCGGATCGGCTTTTTCTAATAACCTTTGTGAAGAATGGATTTCAAGTAATCATTGGCTTTTCTTCTAAATTCAACAAACCCAGCCTTGAGAGATTATATCTCCTCCAGAGTAACCTTATCCTTCCTATTCCACAGTGGCTCGCTACAATATCTTCTGCATTCGTTTCAGGCTTTATTGGGCTGGGAGCGCGGCTGGAATTTTCTCTTCATAAAAATTTCATTAGTATCTTTGGAAAACATCCAGCTCGCTCCGTCCCGTATTGACCAAATTGATTTGTTGCACATGATCGCCGTTCCAGGTGAAATGGACGTTCTGGGAATGTTGCTAGAGCCCCTCCCCGCACTGACCCTGACATTTAGCTTGACAGCACCGCGCAGAAATGTGCACAGGCTCTGTGATCGCTTTTGTAATGCGTGCAGACCGAGAGTGTGAACTTGAACTGTCCACACAACTATAAACACACAAAGCGATGGCATGACGTGCACGTGGATCATCTTGGACGTGGCTGCTTATTTCTTTAAATAATTACCAGGGCAGCATGTGCATCGTCTCTGCGTATCGAATGCTTCAAAATGAAATGCCGCTCTGCGTCCATCATTCATTATGTACTTGTCATGTGTCTCGAGCTTCCCGGCAACAACTGGTTTAAATAAGAACCTGCTGATTGCTTTTGCAGTCAAATGTGCAGTCCTCTGTCAAACCACTTGGGGGCGATGTGGAGACATCTGCGAGCTGCTTGTGCTGTTTACCTGAGTAGGCACTCCCAGCAGCAGGATGTCCGGGTACTGGCAGGGTGCTAGACGTCAATGGTGGCGGTGGAGGCAAGGCTGCTGGAGGAGCAAACATATTGGGGTGGTGTGGGTGTGGAGACGACTGCAAGGCAGACGGGAAGCTGTGGGGGTTATTCTGGTTAGTGGGCAAGGCCAAGGGAAAAGTGGAGGCTGCCGCGGCTGCCGGAGGAGGCGGTGGGTGGTGGGGGAGGTGCAGGGAGGGCGTAGGGGGTCCGTGGGGCTTGGTGCCTGGGGTGCTGCTCCTGCTACTGCTGTAAAGATTAAGACAGAGAGAGAGAAAAAGGCAGATAAGTGGTTAAGCCAGGCGTGATCAGTCAAAATTAACACTTGTTCCTCCACATCCCCTCGTCTCCATCTGCTCTGACGTTCAGTTCCTAGCACGCCGTTTTCACGCCTCAGCTGCCTCCCATTTACAAATGCCTCCCCGTCTCTGTCTCGTGCTTCACAGAATCCAGGGCAAACACGATCTGCGAAAACCCCGTTCGCAGCAGCCTCGGATGCAAATAAACCGCCGCTGGCAAACATAACAGAACGAGCATCTGTCTTTGAACAGCTTCTGCTAAGGCACTTCCTCCACAGCCAGGTACAGAACATGTGCATCGGAAATGGGATGAGAGGGCGAGAGGGCGTGTGTGAGCAAACAGTCTTTTGTAGTGTGTGTGGGTTTCCCCCGGGGCAGTCACGGAGCTAGCGTCTCCACAGCTCCACGCACTAAGCCTAAAAGCTCATTTGCAGCGCTCGCTCGTCGCTGTGGGCCCCAGCCGTGATTATTCACATGCGGGTGCCAGGCCCTGTTGGCACGCTGGCAGACTGGCAGAGCTGGCGCAGAGTCAGGCAGAGAAAGCCAAGTCCTGAGAGCCTGCTAGGCAGAGCTGTTGTTGGGACCGAGTGGCTTCTGAAGGAGCTATCTCAAGGTCTAACATTAATGTAGAGGCTCACAGGGTTCGGTGCTTCTCAACTGATACGATAGAATAAGCTTAGCTGCTATTGTTTTCAATGAAATAAACTACATATTTGAATACACAGAAGATCCTTTTAAATTAGGAAAATGTCTCCTGAGCCACTTTTCCTTCTGTTTTCATCCAAAACAGCCTTAAATCCACGAAGCATGAACAATATGGTGATTCAAGGTTACACCAAACTACTGGGAGTCCGAGCTCAGATGTGTGGGTGGATTAAAAAAAAGCCCAGCACTCAGGGTGCAGTGTGGCCCTTTTATTCCGCTGTTAATAATCAGCGCTACAGTTTGGCTGGGGGACTTCCTGATGGCAATTTACATACTGATCGGGCCGTATATGCACTTCCAGCTCAAGAGATATTCTTGAATTTTCAAGTGTGTGTGAATATGGAGGTGTTGCCTGAACAGCTCTGCATGAATTTTCTGCATTAGAGCATGTGAGAACATGAGAGCTGTGGGTGTGTGGAGCTTTTTTCCCCATGCACTTCGAGGCTGTCTGACAGTAGCTTACCTGTGGCCGTTGAGGCTGAGGCTGTTGTAGGCAGAAAGGGGTCGGGGGTGGCAGCGCGATGGGGGCCGGTGAGACCCTGACTGGATGGGGTGCTGCTGGTGAGAGTGGTGGTTCGGAAGGGCGGGAGATGGTGGGTGTGGGTGAAGGCTAGGTGTAGGTGGAGGCCTCGGGTGGGATAGCACTTCAGGCTGGTGCTGGTGCCGGGGAGGGGGGGTTGGTGAGGGCTCTTGGCCCTGGGCAAGAGGCAGGGCTGCGGGTGACTGAGGCCTGGGAAGAGCCTCTGAGCGTGGGGGCAGGTGGTTTAAAGGCTGAGTGGGCCCGTTTGGCTGGGTTCGAAGAGGGGACGGGGTCTGGGGGATGGATGGCTGGGGCTGGGGCAGTGACACGGGGAGGGTTGGGGGGGACAAAGGTGGATTGGGGGTGCTGGGTACAGGCAGCTGGCTGTCTCTGCAACTCTCCTGGCTCCTCTCCTGACTGCGTTCTAGGCCTGACACCTTGAGGAGGCCTGGGCCGTGAGGCTCCTGGCTGCCATTGGTGGAGAGCACATCGATGCCAAAATCTGGAACTGCACAAAAACAAGTGTTAAAAACAGATAAAAGGTGCAGATTAACCGTGACGTGCCACAATGAATGTATCGATGATGCCATTTTAACATGCAACGATATCCTGAGGTGGACCCGAGGAACCAAAGACCAAAGCTTCCAAACAACACACGACCTGCTGTACCTGCAGAGCCACAGCCCCCTACTGCAGACACTACAGTGAGTGAGCTGTGAGTGTGAGCAGCTCCTGTCCTTGTTAGGTGTGTGAGCTTATCAGCTGACAGCTCCACAAACAGACACAGTTTTTCCTTCTTCCTCCTCATACTGACACACCTTCCTTAGGCTCTGCCAGCACAAACACCACTGCAGCCTTTAACACCGTCCCCGGGGGGAACGACACGAACCAAAAAGTGTTCTGCTTGTTCAGAGTGAACCAGTAGTGCATTGTACTCAAGACCTTCATTTTAAGAGCATTCTCGTTTTCTGTGCTTTCACTTGTAGGCCACATTACATTTTTAATGAGGCACTTTTCCATGCACCTTGCACAAACTGAGATCTGTTCCATACCAGAGGCAAACTGGAGCTGAATAATAGTGACAGCGTGCAGATGTGTGTGCATAGTTTTTGCCGTTTATCAGGTTTCTGCTGCCTTTCACCTTTTCATCGCTTCTACAGTTGAAAAATTAGCTTATTCAAATAGTACGTGCAGTTGTGCTAATCTTCTCTGGAAACACCGATGCATGTTCTTTACCACATGCAAACTAGCTCAACTGATGATATGCATAAAAAGAGCACTGTGTGGGGTAAAAACATTTCAGGGAATGAATTCAGCTTTGCATGTAGTGTGATAGCCATCTGACATGTAATTGCTAAGCAACAGCAATTACGTGTCATTTAAACGGCCTGTTTGGACTCCATTAGTCCAAAATGACTGCATCTAAAGAATGACTAAGCGCTGTGCAATGCTGAACTAAAAAAAAAAGGATAATAAGCTCTGTCCGGGGTATTTCTCTGCAGGGACCTCCTCCTACAGAACAAAGTGCTCAGACATCAGCCACCAGCTTGACTCCTCCAGAGGCAGAGAGGCTCATGGGAGATGACAGTGCATACATAAACTGTAATTAGCTCTCTCTGGGCCTCAGGGGGGTTTAGAGCTGGGGCAAGGGCTCCTCCTCCCCCTTGGTGAAGCAGCTAAATCCTTTACCTGCCAAAGAGGTGTAGATGGGAACCAGTTCCCCTGGGCTGAGGCAGCAACCCGCACTGCAGAGCAGCCGCCTGTCACTGGTGGCTTCCATCTCCCTGACACTACCCCCCTGAGACACTCCAATGGGAGCAGGCTGAGCTAACAGAGCTCTAACATTCAGCATTGAAATGCTAAGCGAGGTATTAGCAGCCCCAGGTGCACGCAATATTACAGATAAGGTCAGGGGAGGTCAATTCTGATGCGAGATCAAAATAACGGCTATTGACTCCCGCTCTACACGGAAGAGCTTCCCGGGACATCTGCCAGCCTGTCAGGAGACAAAAGGACACTTTGCAAGCCTGCCATGTGTTTGTGTTGAATGGTCTCTGTCTCTTTAACGCAGTCCAGAAAGAGAAAAATGTTGCAAAATAGACGAGGGTCTCGTTAAAGCTAGCCAACCACTCCTGTGTGCCGCTTCCACATCTCCGATCTACCCTCATGTGCATCAATGAAGAAAACCCAGCAGCGCTTATATCCATCACCCTAATCTATGTCAATCTTCTCCACTTACTGATGCTATTACCAGTCAAGAGAGGCTGCTGCTGGCAAACAGCTTCACCACAGCAGACAGGGAGAGAAGAAATTCCCAATTCTCAAGGCTCCTGTTGCACCTCTGGGTCCCTGCGGTCCAAGGCTTGTTTTGAGAATGTGCTAACACGCTAAAAAGAAGGTGTCTATTCTGGTCATAATGAATACTCTAGGGCCGTGTGAGGCAGGAAGAAGAGAATATGCCAGCTTCCCTCCCGCGAGGGTTCATTTGTCAGTCTTCTTCATCCCTGGAAACAAATAAGTGCAATTCCCACTTGGGGCTCTGAAAATGTAGAGCCCTGCTGTTTTCTCACTATTGCAGTTTTTTAAGCAGCATGTTGCACTTGTAGGTGCAAGTAAAAAACTGAAGCCTGCGAGTGCGTTGCTTAGCAGGTGAGCCAAAGGCTGGAGGGGCATCGAAGGGCTGTGTGTGTCTGTGTGTGTGTGGAGGAAAGCCATTCATTAGGTGCAGCTGTCAGGAGTCGCAATGAGAGACTTAGAGGGATAAGTCACTATCCAGGGAAGAGCCAGCTTCTATTGTTCACAGAGCATTAGCTGCACAGCACCACGTCTGATTTCTATCCATCTACCTGGTTAAAATGACATGCTGCCTCGCAACGATTAGATTACAGCTGTGATTTGGGTGAAATGAATAAACTGTATTAACATTAAGATACAAGAGACAACATGATGAGCATGGATCAGGAGCCTGTGGCCCTTTTAGGTGTTATTAGAAGCAGAAGTTCAGTTGTACTGCTCTGCTTTTCATCTACCTCGGCTGTAAATGTTCTGCCGTACAGTTTTAATGCAACCCTAATATCACGTTGCTTAATAGAGCGCTGTATTGTTTGGGTCACAGTCCTGCAGGAAGGTGTTTGGTTTGGTGCAGAGAGAGAAACCGATCTACTGCAGCGCAATGCTCCACAGAGGGAGCGACAGCAGGCCTGACAAAGTGAGCTGCACAACATTAGGTAGTTTAATATAGTGTCAGGTCATTACTGCAGCACACAAGGGGATTAATTTAGCATATTATATTTCAATGTCGTTGCTGAATACAGCCTGGCACATGGAAGTGATTAACAACAAGCGGCAACAACATCGCGGTTTAAAAGTGCAACTGGCAGGTCAGCACCTGTCCTTCTGAAAAATACATTACTGCCCAACTCCAGCCAAAGCAGATCCGTCTCTTTCATGTGCGAGTGACAGCTACACCCAGGTCGGGAGGCATCCTGACAAAGCGATGTCTGTAGAGACCTGCGTGACATCCCAGGCTTCTGTTCGTTGCCGTCACCTCTTCCGTCTCACCCTCCTCAAAATAGCCGCTAGATACATTTGAAACCCTCATACTCGTTTATGGGATTTCAACCTGCCAGGGATCTCAGGGCTCCAATCACACAAAACCAACAACCTGACACATAGCAGGAGCCACGGGACTGGCAGCTGAGCCGTGACCGCTGTGTGTACAGTTATGTAGAGAGCAGAGGTGAAATTCAGAGAGACCTGAACCTGCTGTGCTATGCTAGCAGAGGACGACAGCTTTGATGGTCTCATGTGCCAATGAGTACGATAAGAATGCAATAAGAAGTATAATCTACACAATTACTTATTAACAAAATTCTTAAAACTCACTTTGAAAAATTGTCATCTACAAATAAAATAGTGCAGTTTATAGATAATGTAAAAAAAGTTTAAGAAATGTCACAGAAACTGTAATTAAATTTTTCTAGAAATCCCTGCTTTGGTTGATTTTGACTAAGGACAGCACAAGTTGCAATAAACAACATCTCAATCATCACGGCACATGTTGAGAACATCTAGGAAACAGGTGCTAACAGCAGAGGGGGGGTCTGCAGGGACACGCTGCTGCACATTAGATACTAACACGACAGCAGATGATGCAACAGCAGGTAACCTCTGGCAGTGACTGCGAGTTTGTCCTGTACAGAGGTCTTCTGTCGGAAAGGAAGACAGGCACATACTGTTGATGTTTCAGATCATTAAAAAATTTAACACTAGACAAAGATAACCCAGGTAAATATATAATAATGTTTTAAATGATGGCTTAATTTATTAGGGGGGGGGGGGGGGGGAAGCTATCCAAACCCATCTAGTCCCACTTGAAAAAGTAACTGCTCCCACATCAATTATCAGCGATTAACCACGTTTTTGGACAGCTGAGCTCAATTTCACCAGCCAAAGCCCGGCCTGTTCACCCAAGAAAGCACTTAAATAGAACCTGACAATATGAAGCAGGCTAAAAGAGCTCTGAAAGCAACACATCGGGCTATGATTTAAATAAGCTCAGCAACAAATAAGAAACAGTCAGTCTCGAAAATGTTACAAAGCTAAAACTTTAGGAGTCCAGTGAACCGCTGAGAGACCCACTTTCCACAAACGGAGGAACTGTGGTGAAGTGGCAGCGTTAGAGTGGCAGCTGAAGGCTAATGTCACCACACCTACATGCTGACATTGAGCTGGTATGATGAATATTTTTAAGTAGCACTAAAATAAAGAAAAACTGAGAGTGATGGGACTGAAATGTTTTTGACAGCTTTCATAAACAATCATCCGAAATCACTGTAATCCACCCGACACCATAAATATTCTTTATGTTAATCTATCTAATGTTGAAGTGCCAAAAGCCTAAATATCAAATCAGAGAGAAGATTATTAGAAAAATTATTAGATCGTTAATATCTGTGGCAAATTTAAGCTAGCCAACCACTCCTGTGTGCCGCTTCCACATCTCCGTTGTGGATCAACCAACCAACACTGTAAGTATCGTTAAATCATTTAACGACATATTATTGTGTAACTAATGTTTAATGAAATCATTCTGACTGCCAGTCCAGAAGATGTAGGCTGGACCTCGCTGGATATGGTGAGACAAATGTAGCGCGTGGGCTTTAGCACTGCGGTGCATCGATAGGCTGCAAAAGCAAAGCATTAAAAAAAACTATGAACCCCAGAGAGACCTCTGATGCTCCACTGTCACCGCTTCAACACTCTTGTTGTGCAAAAATCAGCAGAGTTAGTGCACTGCAGCGGAGACACTCGTGCTCTGCATCAGGCAATCAGAAGAAACTGGTTCAGAGCTGCTGATGCTAGATTCAAAGCACTGCTGAGAGGCTGTGCTCGTCCTTCACGCAGCGTCGTCTGAAAGCATCATCCTGCCTCACATAAACAAACGCAGAGAGGCCGTTTGCTCAACTTCAATCAATTAAAGTGCGCACACAGCCACGAACAAGAATT